CTGGGTATCTATCTGAAGAAAATGAAAACACCAATTTGAAAAGGTACATGTACCCCTGTGTTAACTGCAGCATTATTTATAATAGCCAAGATAAGGAAATAACCTAAGTGTCTAACAATGGATGAATGGATAAAGAAAATGTGGTGAGATCATCTATCTATCTATCTATCTATCTATCCTACTCAGCCATAAAAAAAAGAATGGAACCTTGACATTAGTGACCTGGGGATGGACCTAGGGGGTATTACACTAAGTGAAATAAATCAAACAGAGAAAGACAAAGACTGCATGATTTCACTTACATGTGGAATGTAAAAAAACAAAACAAACAAAATAAAATCCAGATTCATAGATACAGAGAACAGGTTGGTAGTTGCCAGAAGGAAGAGGATGGGGGAAGGTGAAATGGGTGAAGTGGATCAACAAATACAAACTGCCAATTATGAAATCAGTAAGTCATGGGAATGTTATGAACAGCATGAGGAATATAGTCAATAATATTGTATTAACTTTGTATGGTGACAGGTGATAACTAGAATTACTGTGGTGATCATTTCACAATGTATACAAATGATGAATCACTATGTTGTATACCTGAAACTAGTATAATATTGTATGTCAATTATACCTCAATAAAGAGAGAGAATGCCAGTTCCTTTTACTCATTTTCCCCTTCTGATATTAGCCATAAAGTAGCCCTACTTTCCAAGATCATGAGGCATACCAAGTGAAATTTCAGCCAAATGTCTGATTTATAATCCTTAGTGAAAGCATCTGATCTGAAAAACAACAAAACTGGGTGTTACAGAAACTTGAAATATTTGAGTAGACTTTTAAAATTCAGAATATTTAAAATACCTCTCAAGATTAAAAATACATATATTTTAACATCTAGTTTCACGGGCTTGTTACTGAATCAACAATATACAGATGAGAGCTGTTAGAAGACTAGCATATAAATGTGTTTTCCCATCCAAAGCTCTATTTCTTCATTTCCTCTCTCAACTCTATAGCCCATCTGGAAGTGTATAGACCACTGGGTGAATTCAAACTTGGAAATTGAAATTTCAGCCTTGAAGAAAAGGTGAAAATGTTCAGAATTTACCACTAGCTTTAAAACCCCCAAACAGTAGCAATCCTATTCTGAAATTCAGGCAAGAGCTGTGGGAACTTTTTGTATAAAGCACTGTTGATTAGCATTTTACAAAAATCTTTGGGAAAAAATGATGACTTCATTGAAAAGGTAGGTAGCTCCTTCCCCACCCACCATCCAAATCTTCCTTTACTCACAGTTGCAAAAGACTGAACAGACCTGGTTAGATGTCTGTCCAGCTTCCTCTTGCTAGGAGTGGACCACCACATTCAATATTTCCCTAGGAGAGCTTCACTGAATTGTTAGGCAAAGGGGGAAAGAATGGAAAAAAGAAGCCTGAGTGAGCAAGAACTGGCAGAGATTATATCCCTAACAACATTTTGTTGGGATGTGTTGGGTCATTTCATCCCTCTGAGTCACAAATTTAATCAGACTGCATTGATTATTAATGAACATGCAGAGTTCAGTCTTCTGATCCAAGTTATTTCCCTAAGTATTTTTATGGCTCCTCTTCCTACTACAGTTGATCCTTGAACAACACTGGTGTTGTGGTGTTTTCAAACAGTTGAAAATCTGTATGTAACTTTTGACTCCCCTAAAACTTAATAGCCTACTGTTGAACGAAATCCTTACCAATAACATAAACAGTTGATTAACACATATTTTGTATGTTATATGTATTATATACTGTATTCTTACAAAAAAGTAAGCTGAAGAAAAAATGTTATTAAGAAAATCACAAGAAAGAAAAATACATTTACATTTTTTTGAGGTTTGCAGTTTTATTAAGAAAACAAAAACAACCTATATAAAAGGAGAGTCATGGGGATACTTACTGTATTTATCAAAAAAAATTTGTGTATAAGTGTACCTGCTCCATTCAAGCCCATGTTGTTCAAGAGTCAACTGTATACTTATATGTTTCTTAGAAAAATATGATTTGGGGGACATTACTTCTCCATGAACTCATCTTTCTTTTATGGTGAATTCTGTTTCTAGATGTGTGTTTGCACAGCAGTCAGTCAACAATAAGCTTAGTCAACAATCAGCTACCTTTTCCAGTTGATCTTTAACATCCATATTAATTCTCTTCTCAAAGGATTTCAAATGTTTCTAGAACTGTTTTAATCTCAAAAGTAACCCATCAGATGCCATCCACTTCCCTGGTTTTCAGAGCATGATCCTCAAAAATCTTTGATTTTTAAACAGATGATCCAAGGCCACAGTGAGGAATGGGGGCAAGAGAATGCCAAGAAATGTTTCAAAACAAGACTTTAAGACTTTAAGCTGCTTTTAGACACTGAGGCTCCACTTTCAATTTCATTTGATAAAAGATCTTTTTGTTAGTGGATGAGAAGTTCTAGTCTGAGAGAGATTCAGCAACTTGTTTCAGATCACTCAGCTAATGACAGAACCAGCTTAGAACCAGGTATCCAGAATCTTCACCTAGTACGTGTTTCTGCCACTCTATATCTGACTCTTCTAATTATTTTTTCTATCCTATTAGCATCTATTTATTCTCTTTAGAAAAACTTCCCACTCTTTCTTCCTTTGGCATTTTACAGTTTTATCTAGAGCATCTTGTTTTAGTTTCTCCATGTATTTTATTGAATATCTTTTTTCTCATCAATTCTGAGAATATTAGCCCACTGCCAAAAGACTGGAGGGGTCATTGTTATCATTAGTAATATTATTGTCTCCTACATGGATAATATTTTTTAGAGATATTCACCTTTCATAGATTCACACATTAATTATATTGATATGAACTCGTATACCCTTATAAAGTACACAGAAAGAGATATGAAAACTAAGGCCCAGAAACAACTTGCCCATTGGCTCACAGCTATTCAGAAGCACAAGTAGGGTTGGAGTCCTGTTTTCCAGTTTCCACTCTTTCCACTTGAGTATTCCAAATGAAGAGAAGGATTGGGGTGGGGGTGGGGGGTTGTGTTAAATTCCTATTCATGGGCTATTAGCCTGCTTTTCCTTGACATTTCAAATGATTTGGTTCTTATTAAATCAGTCATGCATACACTTACAAATTACTCCTTCACCTTGCCAACCTCACCACCAACCTGCTGGATCCAGACCAAAGGGCCATATTTCCCTACAATCCACATGGTTGATTGCCCTTTCATCTAAGCATTGTTTAAATTTTGACAATGTTTTCAACATAATTGATCCTCTTTGACCTCTCATCAGTCCTATATTTTTTCTCCCACTGGATTTTTATTCACATAGTCACCCTACTCATACCGGGATATTTCATTTGGGGAACAACCCTCTGTAATATACTATCCAGGACTTGACTTTATCTTTGCCCCTTTGTAGAGACTCTAAATCCTTATCTGAAATATTCAGTCTAGCAAGCATAGGACATTGGAAGAAGGACTAGTAGCCAAACATGAAGTAGATGCTCCTTCACAAAAAGTAACAATGGCAGAAGAAGGCAAATTTCCTAGCAGTGGCATGTGCATAACTCCAACATAACATGTACATATATTCAGTTAGATATATAAAAGATATATAGGTATATAAAATAAATCTCATGCAGTTCCTGAACCCCTCCATAACATAAAGGATGCAGAGAACGGAGGACACCCCAAGTTAGAAGGAGGGATATATTTGTGAAGAGCTACATCCATTTCCTTGATCCTCCAGCTGAGGGGAGGCATATAAATGGTAGTGATACTAATAAATCCTAATCTAAAGCTCATGCTCTTTGCCCTAGAGTAGGCAGCGGGGAGGTTATAGGTATCAATCTGAACACCTGCTGAAGGGTAAGGAACTTCTCTATAGTATGAGCAATTCAATTTTCTATTGAAAACTAGTATCTTTCAGAAATCAGGGTAAAAAGCCATTTCTGGGTCAGTCATAGCAAAATGATTATAATCACATTTCTCTATTGCTTGATTAGGTCACTATTCACTAATGCCCTGAAGCCATCAGATTCTTTGAGCTGTCATTTCATACCCCATACCACTTGTGGTGAGCTTCCCTATATCTAGTTTGGAAAGCCAGTTCAAGGCAGAAGGTGGTTTTCTTTCTCTACTATAAAAAGAGTTTTGGGTCACGGGTGGTTGCCTTCTCACTGTGCTTTTAAAAGAAGAGAGAAAGTGCCGTCCGTTTGCTGGGAGCAAAAATATGTTCTTTTTCATCTGAAACCATTCCTTGCATCTCACTAAATATTACTGAGCATCCCGCAAGTAGCCTATTGTCTTACCTATCTGCAACAGTAAACAGAATGTATTAGGAAAACCTCTTCAGACTGGTGGAACCCAGCAGCTTAGGAAGCTTTGGGGAATAAATATCTGACAGCAGGTGGCTTAAGTAGACCAGCTGTATGGCTATACATAGGAACTGCCACTTAACAAGTTAGGGCAGCTTGTTCCCATAGCTCGTGGGGAGTTGGACACATTCTACTCCCTTTAGACTCTCTGGGCTATAGAGGAAAAACAAGCATTTCATCATGTCCAATGCCTCCTTAATTATGTGATTTTAAGTTGTTCTAAGACATAACAGTTTCTTTTTTTATTTATTTTTGTTTTATTTTATTTTATTTTATTTATTTATTTGACAGAGAGACAGCGAGAGAGGGAACACAAACTGGGGGAGTGGAAGAGGGAGAAGCAGGCTTCCCGCCGAGCAGAGAGCCCGATGTGGGACTCAATCCCAGCACCCTGGGATCACAACCCTGGCCTAAGGCAGACGCTTAACGACTGAGCCACGAAGGTGCCCCAAGACATAACAGTTTCATGTGAAGGAGTACAAATGGCAGTCCCAGGACATACTGGACCATTGACCCACTGTTCAAATATCACTAGTCTTCTTCTCCTTTGTGACATAGTCAGTTACCATGGTAACAAGTAGCCAAAGTTTATTAGTGTGTGTTAGTATTTAAAAGGTGATTTATAAGCACATAAATAATTGGCTGTTCATTAACAGGTGGGTCTCCTAAACTCAGCTGCTTTTGGCAATTATCTACAGTATTCCAGAGTTGTGCTTCTGTCCACCTCAGCTGCTTGCCTGTTTGGCTCAGAGAGTATCAACTTTGAAAACAAGGCAAAGAGAAAACAATCCATCAGCAGGGTAGGTGGAGCAGACCTTGTGACCGGTATTGGTTGCTTGCCTAGCAGAGTGCACAGGAGCAGATGGGAGGGAGTACAGGTTGCCCACTTTTAATTTTTCCTTCAGAAAATGTACATACTGTATTCTGAAAATCCTTGTTTCTCAGCAAATTCATTAGGAATGGAGCCAGACTTACATATAAATTGTTGTTTATACTGGAAGAGCCCCTTGTCTAAAAATACCTCCCTGAACCAGCAGTCACAGGATCTGAAAGTGCATCAGAATAGATGTATTATTTTCAGTGTTGTGTGTGTGTGTGTGTGTGTGTGTGTGTGTGTGTGTGTGTGTGAAAGAGAGATTGAGAGTGCTAGACAGAGTTGTATATTGTTTGGGGGTGTTCGAGGGAATGAAGCTGAGAGAAATGGAGTATTTCAATACTCCCAGCGGTGGAGAACATGCTAACCTTGCTACTGACCACATTTTTAGTATTTGGAGAGACCCTGGATAGCCTGAGAAAACATAGTTTGTGGATCAGAGTCACAGTTTTTCCAGATTGCCATTTTGACAGGCTAGACCTGACTTAGATGATTCTGGGGTTTTGGTTTGGTTTTGCTTTTAATTTTTTTTTTTTAAAGATTTTATTTATTTATTTGAGAGAGAGAGAGAATGAGAGATAGAGAGCATGAGAGGGAAGAGGGTCAGAGGGAGAAGCAGACTCCCCGCCGAGCAGGGAGTCCGATGTGGGACTCGATCCCGGGACTCCAGGATCATGACCTGAGCCGAAGGCAGTCGCTTAACCAACTGAGCCACCCAGGCGCCCTGCTTTTAATTTTTAAAGACCCTTTTCCATTTCTAATTTTTTCACACAGTTTTGGAGTTTTGAATAATTGTTAATAAAAAGATACACTTATTGAAGCATACCATGCATTCATCTTCCTAATCTATATAGCCTACGAGTACTATTATTATTATTACTTACTGTTATTTTGACTTGAGGTACATGAGAACAAGGGAGAGGGGAACATGGGAAGATAACTGGAAGATACCACAATGATAATAAAATGTAAGAGGACAGATTTTGAAGAGGGAAAGACTTTAAAGAGAGAGATTAAGAAGAGAGAAAAACTGGAGGCTAAAAAAGATGTTCCATCTGGTTTCTGCAGCTTCTTTCTTTCATTTATAGACTATCTCAGGAGCCGAGAACAAGGCACAGTCGGCCAGTGCTGCTTGAGGAATGGCATAAAGAACGGTAAGAGAATCAGCTGTGCATTGTCCTGTAGGGTATTTCATAAACTCCAGGAGGTATACAGACCAGTAATGATAGTGTTATATCTCAGTGCCAGAGACGCTGATTACCCCTTCAATTGTTTTAATTTATGTAACAGCATATTTTCTCCCCCACTCAACTAAGTGCCTAATTCCACTGATGAAGCACCTAACTCACCAGTTACTTTGAAAGTGTTATTCAGGTTGATTAAACACTACTCTATTTATGGAAATACCTTTTGTTTTAATAATTGGTAGTGGTTTTTAACTCCACCCTCCTCAACATGTGTGTGTGTGGGGGGGTAATTATCTTGATCCTCTAGCTTGCTGAGATTTTTGAACACATTCTACATTTTCTGAAGAAAACTCTACTACAAATAAAAAAATAAAAGTAACAGGCATTCATATAATTTTTTATTGTTTTAGGCATCACTCTAAATGCTTTATATAACTCATGTAACCTTCAAAAAATTTACAAATTGGGTATCATTGCTATCCCTTTTTTATATGTCAGGAAACAGAAGGTTAAAAAAAAAACTTGCTTAAGAATATAGAAAGGAGCAAATTAGGAACAGACCTAGAATTTGAAAACTTAACACAGGACAGCCTGCTCTTCTGCATCCCTTCATTCCATCAACAAATGTATTGAGTTCCCATAGCTCGTGGGAACTCAATATTATGAAGTACGAATTTATAAGAGAATGTAACTCTCACCATAACAAGCAAAACAAATCATGTGAGATACTAAATTAATTTTCCTGAACCCCTGAGAAAAATGACATTGAAAAACTCTTTAAATAAGCTAAACTTCAGGGACGATTACTTCATAGGAGAAAAGACGTACAAAGCTACTCTCCTTGGCTGACTAGCAGGAAAAGAAAACTATCTCCACAGACAGAAAATCAGCAGAATCTTTAACAAAATTTTAAGGCCTGTATGTGGGCTGCCAAGAAAGATTGAAATTCTGAGACTCTAGTGAAGTTACAGAGTAAATCTGCACTCACTCACCAATTCTACTGCCTGTGTCTTTCCTGACTGTTTAGGGGCAGTTCTCCACAGGCTAGAAGGCAGGGGAGGAGAATTGAGAGGGATCAATTTCAACTCAAGATTTCAGCTTCTAAGAGCTGGAGACAGTGTTCTGAGAGGGACTGCTTTGAGGCATTCTGGGAAGAGAAAGATCTTCCTGGGCATACAAAGTCTTAGTATGGCTGGAAGAGAGCAAAGAAAACTTCCTAGAAATATGAAGAGCTGGTAGTGCTATAAAAGCAGAAATCTTCATGTTTTAAAAAGCTAGCGCTGGGCAGAGAAGCATAGAAACCTATGGATCTCACTAGTGCTCAGACCCCAAGTCTGCAGGGTTTCATTCTAATTCCACTTCCAAAACATTTAAAGTCTGTGGTCAAACTAAAGCTGCAACAAATCCCAAACACATCTCAACTAAAGACCAGATTTATTAGCTCTCCACTCTAGATCTTTTCTAGAAATAAATATGATTTACATCCATTTTTGTATTGTTTCCTTACACAAAATATCCTCAGTGCCATAAAATTTGCACGACAAATAAGATATATAAATCATGGCCAAAAGAAAATATATGGAGAGAAGCAGACCCAGAGATGATCCACATGTCGGAATTATTAGAGATTTTAAATAAAATATGTATAATCAAAAATCTAAAGGAGCAAGTAGGAAAAGTAGGCAATGTGAGTAAAGAGATGGGGGATTTTAGCAGAACATTTTAAACAAAAATCTATTGAAAAAAATTCCAGAAAAGATGCAGTATCATAAATGAAGGACTCGTTAGATGGACTTAACAGCAGATTGGAATCTGAAAAGAATGAGTATCCTAGAAGACAGGTCAATAGAGCTGCTGGTGCTGCTTGTGTGCACTGGTTCAAGTGAGGGCCTGGACCCTTTTGTGAAGCAGCAGCTGAGGCTAATGTGGCACAAGCCATGGCAAATGACAAGCCCAAGGAAGGAGTCAAGATTGGGAACAAGGATCATGTTAATTTGAAGGTATTGAGTCTGGATGGTTCTGCAGTGTCATTTAAGATTAAGAGGCACACATATGGTGAGCGCTGTGAATTGTGCAAGACTGTTGAATCACAGATCTGTACTTCTGAAACAAATAATGCAAGATATGTTAAGAAAAAAGAAAAAGAAGATAGCAGGAGGGGAAGAATGAAGGGGAGTAAGTCGGAAGGGGAGAGGAACCATGAGAGACGATGGACTCTGAAAAACAAACTGAGGGTTCTAGAGGGGAGGGGGGTGGGGGGATGGGTTAGCCTGGTGATGGGTATTAAGGAGGGCACGTTCTGCGTGGAGCACTGGGTGTTATGCACAAACAATGAATCATGGAACACTACATCAAGAACTAATGATGTATGGTGATTAACATAACAATAAAAAATTAAAAAAAAAGATTAAGAGGCACACAGCACTTAGTAAACTAATGAAAGCCTATTGTGAACAATAGGCTTGTCAATGAGGTTTGTCAATGCGGCAAATCAGATGCCAAAGGGATGAGCAGCCAATCAATGAAACAGACATTCCTGCATAGCTGGAGATAGAGGATGAAGATACAGTTGATGCGTTCCAGCAGCAAACAGGAGGTATTTACTAGAAAGGGAGCTTGCTACTTTACTCCAGAACTCTGTTTCTCCAGACCAAAAGGACAACCTAAATTAGAAAACTGCAATTTGCTTCCACCACATCCTGATTACTACAGTAGAGTTCTCTCAATTCTTTCATTTTCCCTTTCCCCATTCCTTTATTGCACATAAAGTAACTGGTGAATATACACAAGCATATTGCATTTTTTAACTAAATGGCCAGTGATATGGTTTGATCAGCACCAAATGGAGATGAGATAGGGAAAAATTGATTTTATGAAAATATCCCTTTCTCCATTTGTGGCATTCAGCTCCTATCTTTATATCTCAGTGAGTTATTTTGCTCTCAAAACAAAACAAAAAAGAACAACGTAAAAATCCTTGCATACTTTGTTTGATTGGAGAATTTCAATGCTTTTCATTTATCATTATAAAACCAAGGACAATTTTATAACTTTTTTGTACACAGCTGTAACATGTAGGATGATCTATCTCAAGTAGGAATAAATTAATCTAAAAGAAGATTCCTAGATATTTTTCAATTCAAGTATCTTGTTATTTAAATAAAATTCTTGTTTAAAATGAACAAAACAAAACAAATCAATAGAAGGCATCCGAACTAAAGCAAAAAAAAAAAAAGTAAAAAATAAAAGAGAGAGAGAGAAGTGTTTGAGATCTGTAGGACAATATCAAACCTATCATGAGTGTAGAAAAAGAAGATAGTGAATAGGGTAAAAAAAATATATTTGAAGAAATATAGCAGAGAATGATTCCAAATGATTGAAAGATGTTAACACATATCTGATATTCAGTGGACCCCATGCAGAGTACTACAAAACAAAACACACCTAAACTCTTCATAGTTAAATTGCTGGAAACAAAATTTAATAATTTAAAGCAGTCAGCAAAAAATAGACACATTATCTTCAATGGTACAATATGCATGATAGGTGATTTACCACTAAAAATAATTAGAGAATATATTATTGGACGAAGCAATAATATAAAGTGCTAAAGACAAAAGTCAGCCTAAGAATATTATATATAGATCATCTATCTCTCCTTTAAAAGAGAGGGCAAATAAAGTTATTTCAGAGAACAGAACTTCAGGGAATTTGCCTCCAGCAGCCCTTACTATGAGACATGCTAAAAGTAGTTCTTCAGAAATGAAGAGAAATGATGCCAAATGAAACCCCAGATCTGCAGGAATGAATGAAAGGCATAAAATAAAGTAAATATCTGGGAAAATATAAAAGACGTTTCAGCCTATATCTGTATTTATATCTTATGTATATTTTTAAAAGACTGCCAAGAAGTTAAAAGAAAATAATAATAATATATCAAATGTATTTAGGGATTTTTAGCAAATGTAGAACTAAAATATAAGAAATGAAGTGCATAAAGATGGCAAAAAACCCCACCAAACTGTTTGTGACGTAGCATAATATTATTTGAAGTTAGGCTATAATGAATCTAAGATTCATATTATAAACTCTGAACCTATACTGTCCAATAGGGTAATCAGTAGCTACAAGTTGATATTTAAATTTAGGTAAAAATTAATCAAAATTAAATAAAATTAAAAATTCAGTTCCTAAGTTACACTAGCCACATTTCAAGTGCTAGTAACTATATATCTCTAGTGGCCATCATATTGGATTGAACAGATAAAGAAGATTTCCAGTTATTTCAGACATCACTGCTCTAGATAAAGCATAAAAATATAACACAAAGATATAAAGGTAAATACTAAAAGTAGGAGTAGAAATGGAATACAAAAAAAATGTGATTTACCTCAAAGAAGGCAGAAAAAAAAAAACAGAGGCATGTTTAATAAATGAGATAAATAAAAACCAAATATGAAGATAGGAGATTAAAATAGAACTATATCAATAATTACATTAAATGTTATTAAACAAAACATTCCACGTAAAAGTCAGAGATAATAAGATTATATAAAAAAGACATAACTCTATAGATTTTATGTGTAAAGGCAGAGCAGTTGAAAGTAAATGTGTAAAAATAGTACCACTGAAACACTAAGATTAAGAAATTTTAATTATATAAGCAAGATTCGTGTGTTAAAGATACTATTAAACACAAAGATTAAGAAATTGGTTGGCTATCTTAATATCAGACTAAGGTGATTTCAAGGGAAAGAATATTACTGGAGAAATAAAGAAACATTTCATAATTATAAAGGGGTTGATTCATCAAGAAGTTATAACAATTCTAAAAGTGTATGTACCCAATAACAAGATTTCAAAATGCATGAAGCAAAACTTGACAGATTAAACGAAGAAGTGGACAAGTCCATGTTTGTGGTCAGAGATTTTACATAACCATCCCCCAACAACTGTATAGGTATAAT